AGGAGACAGTGAGTAGTTAGTGCAGGAGACAGGTGAGTAGTTAGTGCTCCAGTCAGTGCAGACTGGTTTGTGATTGACTTGGTGCTGGGGACCGAGCACAGGACTTTTTACATCCTGAGCACAGGTGCTCTACATCGGGTCTAAACCCCTAACACAGCCACTTTTTGGTTCAGAAAACCATTAGGATACCCGTCATGGATTCTCTATGGCCATAGAGTATTGTTCCTCATTAAAAAGATAAAATAGGGAACTAGGGAGAAAATTCTGTCAAATAAAGTGCTTACCACACAATCATGAGGATCTAAGTTTATCTCCAGAACCCACATAAAGTCCACACATGATGGCTTATGTTTGTAATACTAACCCGGAAGAGATAGAGACAGGTGGATCCCAGGGATCCCTGCCCAGCCAGCCTAGCCTGCTTGGTGAGTTTCAGGCTAGTTAGAGACCCTGTCTCAAAAAACAGGGTGGATGGAATCCTACATTCACCTCTGGCCTCAACTGCACACACTTGTCCATAAGAGCATACATACACACCTGCACGCACGCACGCATGCACGCAGGCACACTCGCACACTCGCACACTTAAGGAAGTAGGAGATTCAGTAAGATGAATCGGTGGGTTTAAAATTTGCCACACAAGCCTGGTGGCCTGAGTTTGAGTGCCCCAGGACACATTAAACGTGGAATGCAAAAAACCAATTTCATAAAAGTTGTCCCTCTGATCTCTGTACACACACACATACACCATACACATACATACAATAATGAATAATATTTTTAATATTTAAAATGAAGTTATAAGCAAAAAATAAAATGTAGAAACAACTGTGATTCTTACTCTTACCATTTATCTTTCTGATCGTATATATACATATACATGTATGCAGATACACGTATGTATTTTGCGGTGTTTGCCCAATAATATGTAATATGGTTTCTAAGCATTCATTTCCACTGTTGCTAAGGAATCCCAGTGTGCTTGCCATGAGTGCTCTGGTCACTCAGGCCTGTGTACCAGGCTGCAAGCTCACCCAGAGGGTGTTAGCATCCAGTGCGGACCACAGCCTCCTCCTTACCAGGGCGGGCTCCCTCCTGTCCCTGTCCATCAACGGCTGGCATGGGTGGCCCCAGACAGTGCTTCTGACTAGGTCTGTCGGTGTGGCCCCTTTCCCAGGCTGCCGCGATGGCCACTTCGGCAGGCACGGTCTCGGAAGATGCCATTGAAGAAGAGGGAGAAGACGGGGTTGGCTCTCCGCGGAGCTCCTCTGAACTTTCTAAACTCAGCTCTAAGAGTGCCAAGGAGCGTCGCAACAGGCGGAAAAAGAGGAAGCAGAAGGAACTCTCCGAAGGGGAGGAGAAAGGAGACCCCGAGAAGGTGTTTAAGTCAGAGTCGGAAGACGGAATGAGGAGGAAGGGCTTCCGGCTGCCGGACAACAGGATAGGGAGGAAGTTCTCCATCATGAACCAGGTAAAGTCTCTGCGCTGTCCCAGGCCTAGAGCATCCCACCTGGCCTCGCAGCTCCTGGGCTCACAGTACACTGGTCTTCCTCACCGGCACCCTGCTGACACTGTTAATCCTGCCCTTCCTGTTGTAGGTGAAGCTCAGGGCCCTTCACACTAATGATTACATCACATTAGCAAGCCTGGAGGCCAAACACCAGGGGGCTTTTAATAACAGCTGTTGTGGAAGTCTTTAGGATGTCTTGCTTGAGCATGGCAATTTCTAGCAATTAATTGTTGTGCCATACAGTGCCATCAATTATCCCGTACTGTATTGAAAACCTCCAGTTTTATCCACTTTGATTAATGTAGAGACTAAGACAGACAGAGAAACTGTCAGTTACTTTATTACTGTAAATATCAGCATGTGATGGGCCACTTTGGGGTTTAAGGGTATTTGACCATTAAATTCCTATTTCAAGAAAACCCTGCAAACCTGTCAGGTGTGGCAGAGCACAGTACAAGGGAGGGGGCAGTGGAGCCAGTGTCTTCTGTTTTAGTCACAGAGGTGACGCCTTTGCCTTTGCATCTACTACCTCCCAGTTACACCCTTCTTCCTGTTCCTGTTGGTCTGTGCTCACCTCACGAAGCTTTTCCATTACACTTCTGCCTTCTCCTCTCTCTCTCTCTCTCTCTCTCTCTCTCTCTCTCTCTCTCTCTGCTTTTTGTCTTGTACTGTGGAGCGGTCACTTTCTGAAAGTTCATGTAGCAAGAATTTATGGAGTATCTACCAAGAGTCAGGGATGGTCCTAGGTCCTAGAGATTAAGAGATGGTTAAACCTCAGCCCTGCCCTCGGGATCTTACAGTGCAGTATGGCAGCCAGGTGTGTGTGTGTGTGTGTGTGTGTGTGTGTGTGTGTGTGTGTGTGTTTTACATATATTTTTCCATAAATGAAACATATTAGGGTTGTTCTGGAGTCATGTGTCATAACTTTCTGGGAAAGATAAATTCTCAATGAGGCTTAAAGGATAAACAGAAATCCGTCCCAGGTAACGGATGTGCGTGCTGGTGAGGTAGAGAAGGATGCTCCAAGCTTGAAGGAAAGTGTACTCCAGCTTAGACAGCCCAAGTTTGAGTGACTTGGGTATAATCAGGTACTGAGGTCTTTCGGGCATTAGAGTAAAGGAGAGTGGCGGTTCTGGGAAGATGTCCTGACCGGAGCGTAGACGCTAGAGCCGTGAAACCGGATGGCACCACTCGGGGAGAACAAGTCAGGGAAAGAACGCAGGCTACCGACATGACTGTTCACGGAGAAGGAGATGGGCTGGTGAGGCATGGGCAGTGGAGGTGCTGAGAGCAGTGAGCTTGGTAGGCAGGAGCAGACAGGCTGGAGAATACGGGCCGGGCCAGTGGACAGAAAATGAGCAGAGGTGCCTAGTGACATTTGAATTGAAAGTGTCTCTTCCATCTGGCAGCAGAGAAGTCATTGAGGACTTGAGTGACAGGATTTAATACAGAGTGAAGATGGGTGCCATACTGAGTGAAGTGGAGACAATAAATTAGATTTAAAGAGTATGTGTGAAAGCTGGATGTGGTGGCACATACTGGTAATTCCATGACTCGGATGCCTAAGGCAAGAGAATCCCAAATTCAAGGCCAACATGGGCCACATATCAAAACCCTGTCTCAAGAAAACAACACACAGGTGTGTGTAGTGGCGCACACCTTTAATCCCAGCACTCGGGAGGCAGAGGCAGGGGGATCTCTGAACTTGAGGGCAGTCTGGTCTACAGAGCGAGCTCCAGGACAGCCAGGGCCACAGAGAAACCCTGTCTCGAAAGAAAGGAAACAACGCACATAGCTGTGGAGAGGGGTCAGTGCCTCAGATCATTGGCTGCTCTTCCAGGGGACCCAGGTTTGATTCCCAGCACCCCCTCTTCTGGCCTCCACCAGCACCAGGCATGCACACAGTACACAGACATACATACAGGCCAAACACCCACACACATAAAATAAAATTTCAAAATAAATAAACACAAAAAGGAGTATAGATGAAAAATAAACATTTTCTTTTAATAATGGGGACAAAAGCGGGCTCTAAAGTCGGGTTAGGGAGAGAAGTGCAGCATGGAAACAGGTCACAGCCTCGGATGATGGGGACAGACACAGTCCTTAACCCAGAATGAGCCACCCGATACTTCTCATGGGTGACATTTGTTTCCGCCCCGTGTGGGAACGCCCTACGTGTCCTCCCATCTGTGAATGTCCACATCACAGTCGTCCTTCACAGAAAGAGGTGAGGAATCATCCCGACTCCCTCACCCGAAGCAGTAGTCTCTCTTCCATCTTTCCGTCATGCTGTGTGTGTCTTTGTTGTGTTTTACTGTCTGTGTACACTATCTACATATTTATTTACGTTCACATCCTCTCTTCCACCAGAGATCTAAAGTCAGCTTTTATACCCATGACTGTCATTCAGATGCTGCTGACCAAACGAATGCTGGATGTGTAGAAACCTGACTTCACCCCCTCTAGAACGTCGTCACGGCCCCCGACAGCCACCCCAGTGTCACCTTCATCCCCTTTCTCCTGCTCCTGCTCTTTTGGGGACTGTGATTGCAGCTCTGTTGTGGCTCTGTCCTTGTCTTGGGAACATCACTGCGCTCCATAATGAATACCTCCCTGATCCTAGGCTCGGCTATTGAATGCTCTCTGATTAATCTATAGGCTTTAGCAGAGTCACATTGATTGCTCCCTCGCTTAGAAAATAAAACTGGGTTCTGAGATGTCCTGCTTTGCAGGAAAGGGTTCACTTCCTCCAATTTCTCCATTTGAAAAATGGAGGCTTGCTCGCGGCCCTGGCTGCCTGCCAGGACTGGCTCGGACTTAGACGCCCCACATGGCAGCAGACTCTGTCCTGAGACTCTCTGCCTGCAGAGAAGGGCTGAAGGACAGGAGACCTAGAGAGACTTGCTAATGTATTCAGGTTACGACGCTAATGGGCACGAGAGCCACGATTTGGACTCGGTTCTCTCTGCTCTAGAATTTATGCCCCAGCCATCTTTCCCTCACTGGTGCTCAGACACGGTTTAAGAATTTTCAGTTAGCTATCCGTAGTGGCACACGCCTTTCATCCCAGCACTCAGGAGGCAGAGGCAGGTGGATCTCTGAGATCCAGGACAGACAGAGCTACACAGAGAAACCCTGTCTCGAAAAACAAACAAACAATTTTTTTTTAGTTTTCCATAGCACAGTCCAGGTTTTCCATAGCACAATCCAGGTATGCGTCTGCCCCTCCAACACCTCCCACACCCCTGCTCCCGTCTCACTGCTCTCCATTTGCGGTTCATGGCAGTTTGATAAATACGATGTCGAAGCTGTGTTTCTGTTTTGTGAAGCCTGTTTATCCTGTTGCGGAGGCTCTCAGATCCTTATGGTCTTAGAATACCTTTATATCTTTTAAATTAGTCAGGGATCGGTGAGATGGCTCAGTGGTAAAGAAGCTGGCCGCCAAGGCTGACCGCCAGAGTTCAATTCCTGGACCCACCTAAACGGATTCCCATGAGTTAGAGCACACATGTGTGCAACAGCGCACACACAAAGTAAATGTACAAGTGATCGAGTGCCCACACTGCCTTTTAAAAAGCATTTTAATCTATCTTATTAGAAATTATATTTAAGAAAATGTAAAGATACTTCTTTGTGCATGTATTTTAAACTTCCACATGCGCATGTGCTAACGTCCTTTGCTGTTTTGTACCCACAGTTCTTAAACCAGGAATGATGGCAACATGCATTATTCTTTGCCAAACTTTGGACCCCTTGGCTATAAGATCTTCCAAATGTTGAAATAAAGTATTAAAACTCTTAAAAAGTCTTCAAATATAGCAAAGATATCAGCCCACAGTATTCCCTCGGATGTTTATAAGAAAATAAGAATGATTAAAGTAGTTATCCTATCAGTGTTATCATCAAATAGTTCTGACCTGGTTGGGAGGGAGGGTGGTTGGATAGACCTCAGGGACCACTGGAAGTCCTCAGATCACATTTTAGGAATCACTGTGCTAGGGGAAAGGAAACATGAGAGGAGAATGAAATAGAGAATTTAAAACCACCTATGTATTTATTATATTTCAAACAGCCAGTGGTCACAAGCCTGTGGGTATCTACAGATTTGTGTGGAGAATGCAGGGTCCATCCATAAAGTCCAGAGCACCCAAGAGCTATTCTTCCAAGAAAAATCTATAGAAGCCACGTTTCTTAAGTAGCTATGGTGTGGCCATCAGAGAAGAGCCAGGGCACTTAGTTGGTTGAAAAGAAGAATTTTGAAAATAAGAAGTAAGTCCTGCTCATTTCATAAACCTGATCGGATCCTAGGAGTTAATAGAGCCATGGCCTTGGGACAATCGGTTTTTATTAAATAGAATTAAATTTCTTTGTCAAATAAAATGTCTTTCTTTAGGTGGCGATTAGCTCACAAGGCAGTGTCAGTGAGACATGGCCACTTTGCAGTGGTAATCAGCTGTACGCCATGTAATCTGGTTATGTCTACTGTATACAAAGCAGTCCAAGCGGTACAGAGATTTAAAAAAAAAAAAAAAGGCATTGTGCCCTTAAGGAGGTTGTCGATGATTTCCAAGGAGATCTAACAATAAAAAGGCTGCTGCACCTGGAGAGGGGTCTGAGTGCTGTGCAGGGTTAGGGAGCTGATGTGGAGAGCAGCAGGCTGCACCCTGGGAAGGAGCCGTGTACCGGCAGTGGAGAGCGAGAGTCCTGGAGGAGGGTGCCTGCCTGGCGCACATTTGAGGGAAGCAGTTGTAGCTAGAGTTTTCCTGCTTTGCCCACAGTCAGGACAAATCTTTGTC